GCCCAGCCCAGCATATTCCAGCCCAGCCCAGCCCACCCCAGCCCACCCCAGCCGTCCCCAGCCCAGCCCAGCTCAGCCCAGCCTATTTCAGCCCAGCCCAGCCCAGCTCAGCCCAGCCACCCCCCGGAGCTGTCCATAGTTCTACCGCCCGAGCACAAAACCTGGCGCACTGCAGCCTTTCACGTTTCAAAAGCTGTAACATAACCTACTGCAAACAAAACTTTAAACCCACCCAAGCGTCCAACACGTGCAAAGGCCAAGAGCTCCAGAACGCAGAAGTGCTTCCTGTCAGATGCCATTTTGTCCTCCAGCAAGAAGGTTTCGCTGCTGAAGCGACGGAGGAGCTCGGTATCTCTCCGGCTCCTGACAGCGAACCCACATCTGGCATTTTACACCCTGGCAATGGATGCTCTAACCAACGTCCCTTCGGGGTGCCACGAGACAGAAGTACCCACTGAGCGCAGCTTCACAGTTCAAGCTATCAGCAATGTTTTCCACCACTGCACAACGCAAAGTCTCTCACTTCTTGCAACTGGCAGTAACGCAGGAGATCAGATTCAGGTTTCAGTGTGCTGGAAAGAAAATCCAGCACTGGCTTCCAGTGCAGATTGTGGGGAGCAAGTAAAACATACTTTTCTTTTTATAGACTGTTTCCATGGTGCACAGAGGTTCCCATTGCTAATTCTGCAGCTGCAGAACTTCAGAAAATTGCACAGCCTGGGTATAATCCTGTGGCAGCCTGCCCCATCCATTCCCAGACCAAAATCCAGTGGCTCACACCCTCATCGAACACCTGAGCCTTCTCCCACTTTGACACGGGAGCGGAGCGGCTGTGGCTGAACTTCCTCAATTGCCTATCAGTTTGAGAGACACCGGAGCAACCGAAGCAGGGTCTGGGTTTCAGACCCCGTCCGCTAAAGCTCCCAGGCAATTGGGAGGAGGTAAAGAAACAAATTCCTATGTGCCATATGTATTTTTAAGGCAATTTCTTAGAAGAACTGTACGGCCAAAGGACAAGCAGACTGTTACAAGCAATAACTGCACCAACTCCACCTCTGCTCCTCTCCGCTGACACGACTTTGCTGGCACGCCGCTGAAGCAGCCCCGTTTGCTTTCTCCAAGCCAGAAGATCAGAGGCGCGCTGCCCTCCCAGCTTCCACGCACCAGCACTCGCTGTACTGGGCCAGAGCCTGACCCGCCTGGACAAACCAGCCGTTTCCAAAAGCGTCCTCCAAGAATCGATGCGCCAAGCACAGCCGCTGCCTTCACCCCGTCAGCACGGGCAGAAACCCGCTCTGCTCCTCGCGCCGCCCCGCGCCCGGGCGCGACTCACCTGTTCCTGCGAATTCATCACCCGCAGCTTCATTTGCTTCAGGTAAGTAGAGGTGAGGGGCATGTTGTAGTCAATGATCCCAGAAACCAAAGAGGAAGGTGGCTCGCTCTCTGAAGAACAGAGGAAAAACTTTATTTAGAGACAGGGGTGTGGAAGCACAGGCCTGTGAGGTGTTCTCATACTCGTTAAGCGGGCGTATTTAGAAGCACTTTGAATCCCTAGCGAGAGCTGGTGCCCGCTGAGCTAAGGTTCCTATAGAACACGACCCCACCAAGAACATAATTACAGAACAGATGTTGTTGTGCAAAAAAAAAAGCATTGCTGTCACCTGCGGAAAAGACTACACATAATACACAATTTTTCAGTCTACCGAACTAGAATGTAGCAGAGGAAGAAAGCGAGTCCTGCCGATGCCTCAGAAGCACTTCCATGCAAATGGGATTTATGCAGAGGTTGATGAACACGAATATATTTGCAGCTTGCTTTAGCATTGCAAAGTCTTGCCAATTTTGCTGGGATTCCCTCAGGTAGGAGTTAACATTAAGGCAACTTATTAAGTATCTCTATCTGGTGATGAAGATTATTTTTAACACCCTCATTAAAACACAAACTTAATTTTAAAAATCTTTAATTTAAATTGTTCCTGTTGATTCCTCTGGCTCATATTGAGCTCTAGAGATCACTCTAGATTCAGACCGCTCCTGCAGATCGTTTTGTCTAGCCAGACCAGAAAAGTCCCCGTAAAGCAAAGTCTCAGTGATTTTTCTGAATTCTCCAAGATTTGTCAGCTCTGCCATCATCTGGAAAGCGAGCTTAAGCAACAGCGGACAGGGAAGAAGGATTTCCAGGAGCTGAAGGTGAACCGATGGTGGGAGGTTTCCATTCCTGTCTGGGGACCTCCCTGGCTGGCTTGCATTTTCTGGGGTCACTGGTTTCACAGGCACCTCTGACACAGCCCCGCGAAAAAAGCGCCGTCCCAAAATGTTTTACAGCACCTTAGAAAACCCATCAACCCAAACATAATGGGCCTGCTTTCCAGAAATGCTGAATATCAAAAAATCCCAGTGAAACTCAGCAGACCTGAAGATGCTTCACCCCTCTGGAAATATCAGATCGATCGTGTCTCATTAAGAAATGACCTGACCCCAAACTGTCTGTAACCGACTTAAACATCGCATAGGTTTTGCAAATCTTCTGTATCAAGAGCCTACTTAGGGTCCAGGGAAATACACTGTTTTTTTTCCCGGTCCCTCTAATTCTCCCCCAGCCGAAGCATTTTTTTGTCCCCGACCCCTCTCATTCCCCCCCAGCCGGCCGAAGCATGCCTGCCCGCGGGCGCGGGAAGGGGTGGCCCGAGCTGCTCAGGCCATCAGCTCGCTCAAACCTGAAGGTGCAAAGCTTTTAGCAGCCTCGCAGACCAATTCCTCCCTTCTTCCCCCATGGCTGTGTGTCGCTGGTCTCCGTCACGCTTCGACCTATAGACTAATTAAGAGCACTTCTATGCCTTTATATATTAAGCACCCAAAATAACCCATTATTCTACTGTGCCAGGTTGTTATCTTGTGATGAAAAGATGGTAAAATCCCAGCGCGAGGGGCGCTTCTCCCAGTCTGGTTCTGTGGTGAAAGGGGAAACAGCTCCCAGGAACAAAACGGGCCCCCTCCCCAGCCGGGCTGGGGCCAGCGGTATTTGGGTCTTTAAGGAGTTTGGGAAGGCGTTTGCTAGGAGTAACAAAGGTAGAGCCGCTCCGTCCTTGAAGCAGGGCGCGGACGAGGCGAGGCCTCCGAGGATGCTCTGCGCTCTCCCGCCATCCCCCACCTCGCAGTTCAGCGCTGCAGAAATGAAGGAGGCTCCGCAGAGGCCGCTCAGCACCCTCACACGGGCAGGACGAGGAGGCAGATGATCTCCGGTGCTGAGATTCTGCCTGAAACCATCCTGACGTAAACCTGGAATAATCCCGTTAGCAGCCACAAATTTACTGTGAATTTGTGCGACTGCAACAGATAAGAGCTTGGCCTAAGAAACCAAACCCTTTTTTTTTAAGCTAACTGGAAAAGAAAGAAAACCTTTGTTTTAAAAGGCCTGGGGGACGCCACCGCCACGGGAATAATCCTCATATCCTGCGTCACAAGGGGGGGCTGCTGGAATCCTTCAGCTCGTTTTTCAAAAAGCTGTCTCCATCACACGCCCCACGTGCCGGACGGACAGAGGGAACAGGCAGAATGGTTTAAAGTAAAACGGTTTCGATCCTGATTCCACGCTTGTGTAACTCCACTGGAATTACTCCTAATTTAATAACAGTGTAAAGCGATCACAGTGAAGTCCAGCGACGTTCGAAGTTCCCCATGAGCAAGACAATTTGCTTTTATGAATTAGGCGGGTGCCCTGCAGGGTTGGGTGTCAGATACGTTTAATTAGGGATTTTTGTGATCACAAATGAAATGTGTTGAGATTTGTTTAATAGACAAGAGAAGCAGGAAGAGACAGGAATGACTCAAATTTTCTCATCTTACCGAGTTGAACTTTACCTATATACGCTCGTATGTGCGTACGCATGTGCATACACCCAGGTAATTCTTCTATGGCCCCAATGTTTTTTCAGGTGATGTGCTCCCGATAAATTCCTGAATGTGTATTAGTGAAATCAGAGACTCTTCCCCCGCAAAAGTTACCTTATCTAATCTACCTCATGCATTTTCACAGGTACTTAGTCACTATTTAGGTACTATTCAGAGCGAAAGGCACTTCTCTCCCTCCGTTCCCCGTGGGTACCAAGCAGGACTTCGTATGTGTGGGATCCTTTGTTTGCCTGTTTGATTAATTTTTAAGGGAAGTGGTAAGGGAGAAAGCTTTATGACAATAATATATAATTTATATTAACGTGTACGTTTGCTCAAGACAGCCAGATCTCAGCCCCGATCATGGTTCCACAGCTAGGGCTGCCCTGGGGAGGATACTCGGCACCTCTGAGCTGCCCCTGAGGCGGGACGGGTGCCGTGTCACTGGGGGAGGCACGGGGGACGCGGGGATGGCGGGTGGGCAGGAGGGAGCCCCTGAAGGAACAACCACCCTTTTCAGCGGCTGCCTCCCGAAGAGGGATGCCGAGCTCCGGGGCGGACGGCTCGGCTAGGGCCAGGCGTTTGGCAGTGTCCCGTCTTGGATCAAGCCAACAGGCGACGTCCTTGTTGGCCTGACTCTCATCCCATCGCCCTGCCCGTCCACGGAGCCGACTGCTGCAGCCGCAGCACTTGGAATGTCACCGGTGATGGATGCGGCACAGCCAGTGTAAAGGTCAGGTTTGCTCCCGGTGAGGCCAAAGGCCAAAACTGCTCTTGACCTAACTGGAAAGAGGGACCGGGCCCTTAGCTGGCAGAGCGGGAAGTGCCGCGGTAATGGAGCTCAGGCTAATAAATGTCACATAGGATTATTTGGGAGAGTTTCTAAAAAATATAACAAGTACAAAGCATTTCAGTCACTAGCTTTGGATAGCTGGCACACATAGTCCACTTGAATGGAACCTCTGGGCTGTCTGTAGCTCTGCTCCTAGCAGTAAACAGTCGGAAATCGGTATTTCATGCTAGAAATTTTCTATTGTTGGGTCCTTTGTACATTTAATTCTGCTTCTCCGCTTGATAAGAGCTGCCAAATGGGCCTGGTTGCCTTAACAGTTCTGAAATAGTCTAACTCTCCGCAGTTTGCTTATGTTTTTTTAAAGAAGCAATTTTCGTTGGGTGAAACCTCTCGGAGTCAGTTTGATGCTTTGCACTTGATCATGAAAACAAGTTTGTAATTCAGAAAAAAAGCACACAAACATCAACTTTAACCATTTACTCTGGAAGAAACCCGGGTCCCCTCTTACGCACTGCTTATATCTTCTAGGCCTAGGAGCTGCAGATTGGTTCCGTTTACAAAAGAACCGTAACGAGCCAGCCGCCACAATGGCCACGCTAATTGGTTGTATACATAGGCATAACGTAACTTTGATTACCAAAACACTTTCCGTTATCAAAAATAGGATCATGACGTGCATATCTATTAATTACTGCAAATTCCTTCTTTATCAGAAACTTCAGTTATTCAGACCTATTCACTGTCTTTCCTTACAAATTTAGTAGTTTAAAGGAAAAACTTTAGGTCACATTTTTTCAGAAATCTGAGTTTCCACCCCCACACAATTATGGGTTGATTGCGGACGTAGCTGAAGTATTTTTGACCCACGCTTTGCACGGTTGCACTGGGGAAGGTGGACTCAGCAGTGAAACTGCCTGCCCGCTCGAAAGAAAGCTGGACTGCTGCTGCTCTCTAAGCTGAAAACAGCGATGGATGAACCAGATTTAAGCAATTCTTTCAGCTCAGCTATAAAAGTGCATGAAAAATAACACAGGTTAGGAAAACCATTTGGTAAAGAAGTATCTCATCGATGGGGCGGTATCCTGACGGCATCAGTGATACCACGCCGGTACGAAACGCTGCGTCAGCTCTGCTGGCAGGATTCATTCGCATTTACCTTTGGGCTCCAGTCCGTTGGAGTTGAAATGCATCCTCTTCTGGCACTCGGTGCAACTCATCAGGAACCTGGTCACAGCTTCTCTCGGGAGAAAAGCATAGGTCTCTGCAATCTGGGAAAATAACGAGACGGCTGTATGTCCTGGGCGAGGGAGAACGCCTAACGGAGAGCCGGGCGGAGGGCGCGGGAGGCCACGGGCACCCTCCCGCCTCGCCTGCTCAGCCTGGCCAAGAACATCAACCGCTCACAGCAACGCACCGGTCCTGGGATCCCCGAATCCCTCCCTCCGGAGCAGCTCTTGACGGAGGAACATTTTGGGAGGGTAATTGGTGTGTCAGAGAGGCCCCGGGACAAACGGACAGACCTTTGGACTCCCTGCGTAGCCACTCCTTCCCAGAAACTCCTTTCCGCTCCCCCTCGGAGTCTGGGAAGAGCGAAGCTACGAACGCGTAAGAATCAAATGAGAAAGTAAGGTCTCGTCAGCTCTGTTTGCGTTGTTAATTACCATCACACCAGTAACCTGAAGAATCCATTAATCTTTGGTAAGGGCAGGTCACTTTTTCCCACAATGACAATCAATTACTGTTAATAATACTTTGCACTTCTGTGACATATTTTATCTAGGGAATTGAAAACATTTTTACAAACAGTAACGAATTAAGTCTCCTGAACCTTTGTGGGATATTTGTATTTGACAGATGAGGAAAAGCTAAGGATAAATACTTTAAACTTGGATGCCTGAAGTTAAACACTGCATCCAGATCGAAGCACCCACAGAAGGTGCCTGGCTATCACTCAGCCCTATTATTCCAATTAATCCCTGCCAGCAGCAATTTTATGGTATTTCTAAAGATCAAGACGAGGTTATTTGGAGAAGGAATGAGGCAACTTTAACGTAGATTTCTTTAAGGCCATAAGAGACCATCAAATCATGGAGCCTGACCTTCTGTGCAGCACAAGTCAGGGAACTTCACCCAGGCTCTCCTGCAGCCCGGTAGCCTGTGGTTTGCCTAAAACATCTTCCAGGAAGACATCTGGTCTTAATTGGAAGGCATTCAGAGGTGGAGAGCCCACCTCTCACTTTGGAGCTGGTTCCTACGGTTAATCACCCATCCTGTTTGGTCTAAGCGACTCGTCCTAGCACGGTGGTTCCCAAACCAGGGGCCGTGACCCCAGCAGGGGTCACAGCACTTACAAGTGGGGTCATAAAGCAGACAGAAATTCAATTGTTCGGGCCAGTCCTCAGGGCCGCGAGCCCGGCAGAAGTGGGGCTCATAACGGGAAGCAGGGCTGCAACCAGACACCTCGCGAGCGACGGCTGGTGACGGGGCCGAGCCAGGCGGGCAGCCCAGGATGTCCTGAGCCCCCTCCTCCGGCCAGCGAGCACCACCCGCCCACCTCATTTTGGTAACGAAAATGAAAAATACCTGAATTCCAAGCATTTTTCTGTCCTACAGGGAAGGGTGATGCTTAAGCTTGGAATAGAATAACGATACAGAAGAAGTGCAACGGGGCAGAGGGTTTGCTTGATCATGGCTAAAGCATCCCCGTGACCCGACGTTGCGGTGGGAGGGAGAGACATTCATCTCCACTGAGCGGCAGCAGAGCCCGAGGTTTTACATGCACGCTAATGCCAGATGGGTGGAAAGTTCAGGCAGGGACCTCGTCCCAGCCGTTCAAATGGAGGATGCGGTCCCTGGTCCTCGGGGGATTTCCTCCTATTTCCTACAGCCCCATCGAGCTCTGTTGCGCCTGAGCGGCTGCTCAGCTCAGCCTTTGCCTCGCTGCGACATTTATCAGTGCACAAGCACGAGGGTCTCCCACAGAAACACTGAAACTGGGGGCCTGAAAATTGCTGGTGGCAAATGTGGTATCGTGGTGCAGGCAGGGAACCGTCCCCTCGCGCTGCCCGCGGCGCTCAGCCCAGCTTCCCTGCCTCTCGTGCTCCAGCAAGCCCATAGTCTCTGCTGCAAATGTTCAGCTAATTTTAGTGATACAGTTGTTATTTCTCAGCTGATTTGATGCTCTGCAGAGCAGACAGCTTCCTTGATGAGTTATCTCCCATCCAAACTCCCTTTCTGATTGCCTCCCTCCGGAGGTCACGGACAAGGGCAAACTCTCCAGTGCCTCTAATCAGAAATGGTGGGGAAAAGGAGAGGGAGAGAAACGGCAGGGGACACCGAAGCCTCCCGAGCTGACCGCCCAGCAGCGTCCCTTTGTGCGCCGAGCCGCGGCGCGGGGCGCGCTATGCAGCATTTCACCTTCCAGACCCGGCTGCAAAGGCGCTCCAGGGAGACCGGGCATGAGCGAGGCCAGCCAGCCCAGCCCGCAGCTCCTGCCAGGTCAGGAGGGGATACAGGCTGCTAATGTGATGATCTCAGCTCAAGAGGGAGACGGAGGGGTGGAGCGTGAAGCTCTCTGACTGCTGCAAGCAGGCCTGGGAAAACAGACGGATCCAGCCTGCTCCCCTGAGGCTGTGCAGGGCACAGATTAGTCCTCCAGAGAGCTGAATTGAAGGAATTAGGGGAGGGTCGGAGCGGTCTGCTGGGGAAATGAGCGGAAAGTTTTTGAATTGTGGTCGTGCTGGTGAGGCTGCATCCCCCTGACTATAAAGAGGTCGCCTGCCCCCGGCCGGGGAGGGTCAGCGTGTGCCCCGGCCCCCGGCCCCGCGCTCTGCCGCAGGGGCTGGCGTCGAGCAGGCAGGGCACGGAGCGATGCCGCGAGCGGTGAGCGCAGAGCCCTGCTCCCCGGGGGCTGCCGCTGCGCGCGGGGGGCTGCGGGGCGCCGGGTGCCCCTCCGGCACCGCACGCCCAGAGCTGCTGATGGGGTGGCGACACAGGCAGGCAGGACAGGCAGGACAGACTCCTCCCCAGCGCCGGCTCCGGCTGCGCACCGAGCCCTGCATAATCTCAGGCATCATCACAGGGAGCAGGGCAGCCTGCACAGCCCTCTCCAAGATGATGTATACACCAGAGACACGAGCTGCCAGCCAGCCACTTCTATCTCTAAGCGACCTCGTCCTTAGGGCTGTGGGATTCAAGGGAGTAGCTCGGTTTTGGACAGTAAATTCAGCTCTTCTTGTGAAAGGAGAGCCCAAACGTTTGCACCGACGGGCTGTGCAGAGTCAGGAGAAACAGCCAGCTCCCTGGAGAAGCACACTTCAAGCTAAATTATTCCTGACCTAACTAGAGTGGTTTCAGGATGGATAGGGCTGGTTCTCAGCATCCATGGAGCACCTGACGAGGCTCAGCTCGGTGCCTGCCTCCATTTTGTAACGGAGGAAACCCAGGATGGGCTGGCGAGAGCATCCGCTCGGCCAGGGAAGAGGGGCGGGCTCCAGCCGTGCTCCAGTCCCCTTTCTGCCTGCTCCTGCCCTTCAAGGCCCACGCGAGACATCTCCCTCCGGCCAAGGGAGACGGGGAGGCAGATGGCACGGAGCAGAGGGCGCAGGGGACTGGGCAAACATCCCCTCACCCATCAGTAACACTGAGCATTTCTCTTTTCCGCCCCCCCCCTCCCCCCCGACACGTACAGTTGTCTTTGTACGATTCACTTGGTCTCTCCTCTCCAAGCAGCCGTACCGTTGTGCTGCCCCTGCAGCCCGGTTTCCCGAGCACAGCTGCTCTGCCTTTAAACGACTCCTTTCTCACGCCTCCCCGCACAGGCAAACAGGACTCTCCTTCGCCTCTGCCTCCCGCCAGCGGCTCCGCTTCTACCTGCCCTCCCATCCCCATCCCTGCGGGACGCCCGCTCCCACGGCCCCTCTGCCCCTTCGCTCCCGTCCCCTCGCTGCCCGGGGCACGCGAAGGGGGAGTCTCACCGCTCGGTAGGTTTTCTTCTGCCCGGCATGTTTGGGTGCTTTGCCCGGCTCCGATGAGCTCTCCACATGCATCGAGTATATGATGTCAAAGAAATCTTCCACCACAGCCACACGTTTCAGAGAGATGCCCTCAGGCTCCGACAGTCCATCTGCCCCCTACAACAGTGCAGGCAAGTTGAGTTAGTGTCAGCGATGGGTGACAGGGGTGACAAGATCGGCCCGGGGCTAATGCGGTTGGAGGGGGCAGAGTGGCGGTGCTCCAGCCCCGGGCTGCCTTGGGCACGGGGGATGTGGGGGATAAATTAAACAGCGCTCCGGGGAGGATCCTGCTGTAGCCAGGGCAGTGGCGGGTGGGGCCGTTGTGTTGCTGCTGCTGTGCTGCAAAAGCTGCCAGTGAAATTGGGCCAGGAACAAAAACAAGGGAAGAGCCCAGAGTGGAGTCACAACCAATTGAGAAATTCAGTTTTTGTAATTTGGGATGATTTTGCTAGGCGGGGAACAGGCAGAGGAAGCTCTTTGGACCTGCACATGGTACCAAACCGTCCTGGGAGGCCCCACAATGTGGGGCACGCCGGCTGGCCGCAGTCCCTGCGGACACGGATCAGCCAGCAGGACAAGGCTGCGCTGTGATGCCAGGATACAGCCCCTAAAGGAAGGAGACAGAATCGCCCTCCTTCCCTGCACTGACCTTTCCAAGGCACCCTCCCTCTCTCGCATACGCAGAGCAGCTGAGCGCTGGCAGCAGCAGCACAGCTCTTTGTGTGTTAGGATGTGCTGGAGAGCAGGAGGCAGTAATTCTGCCACACGGCAGTGGTGACAGACTGGTGGGAGTGGGAAGTGTGGGGAGCAGTGCTCCTCCGAGCCGACTGGCACCGACGGTGTCAGCTCACGCTGGCAGGGTGTGCCGCGGGAAGGGGAGGCAGCCTTTGGTACCCGGCAGCTGCGAGCGGCGCTCCGGCACAAAGCACCCGAGCGGGGGCTGCTCCAATGGCTGGGGTACCGAGAAGGGGCCAGGCTTCGGGCGCTCGCTTAGCTTTTTCCTTGAAAAAACGCCATTGTTGCACAGACAGCTGTATATATATAAAAATATATATATTATATACACATATGCATACATATATCTATACATGCTGCATCCTTTTGAGGCCTGCTTTCCGAAAAGGTATGCATGGATGCCGTCCAGCTGGTACACACCAGGCTGGTGAACAGCAGCCTGCGCATCTGAATGACCGGCAAACTATCTTTTTCACGTGCACTCACGCATCTGTGAACGCAGGCAGGGGCTGGCAGAGGCCTGCGTGCAAAGCGAACACCCAATCTCCTAACCTTTATTTTTTGCTGTTATTAGCGGTTGGGGTCTGTGTATCTTATACGGTCTATAAATCGAATAAATGCTTTTCTTAAGCTACCAGTCAAGGGACTCTCAAAAATCAATCATTCAGAGGGATCGCCTTCTGCTAACGACTACCCAACATCCTGGGGAAGCAGCCTTTTAATGTAAAGCGCTGCCTATTGAAGTTGGCTCCTCACCCCCATTTCGGAACGGAGACTGCCTGTACGGGGCACGGACTGCAGCGGGACGGGTCGCCGCGCTCACCCGGGACACGGGCACGAGGATTTCCCAACACCAACCACCCCGCCTTCCCCGGGGAGCCCTGAGCTGTCCGTAAAGGTGGCTGCAACAAAGAGAATATTGAGAACGAACACAAGGGGCAGGGTGGCAGAGCTGCCGTGGTGGGGGTCGGGAAACTTCGCCCGAGGGAGCGCCTTTGAGGAATATAGATCTAATTTCTTCTGTCACCGTTTGGGGAGTTTCACTTTAATCGAGGGCATGGGTATTCCCCTGCCAAGGAGGAGCGGGCGTTAGGAGGCTTCCTACTGACCAATAATCCTCAGAGCAGGGTTGAAATGAGGATAATTACAGAAACAGGACAAAGGAAAAGGCATCAGGAGAAAAGCGCAGTCAGATGAAACAAGCAGAGCCCTCAAGATTAAGGCTGTAACCAACCCCCTACGCAAATCACTATTTCCAGAGCCATCCCGACCAATACTCTCCTCCCTGCACGGCCAGCGGTTTCCCAGTTCCTCCTCGGTTTCAGACCGAATGGCGTTAAGGTAACCTCAGGGCGTGGGCATCGCTACAGCCGCTCTGCTCATCCAGCGCTGCCTTCCTCTCCGCCCCGGCTGGCTGCCGCGTGCCGGGGCTGCCTCCTCCACATCCCGTTCCCTGCAGCGACCCTCCCCGACTCCACACACCTCTCCATCCCCTCCTCAGCCTTGTGACTCCTCTCCCCGTGATGATTATTTAGCTCCGGGAAGCAGGTGAGATGCATGAGGTATCAAAGCCTAGATGTAAGCAGCTGTATCAAATCAGCACTTCTAAGGTGACAGAGGTTTCTATCTGGCCACATACCCAAATGTTGCCTGGGGATATAAGCGGACACAGGGGCTACAGACCACCTCGCAGAGGGCCCACGCCGCTCCAGTGTCTCCTTCCACACCCAGCATTGCTCACCAGTATTCAAGGCATGAGTCAGAGCCCATAATATCTCAGAACGGCTTAAAAACCCTTAGATTTAAAAAGCAATACAAATTCATTTGGGAATAAGGGATGCTTTTACCCCCCCCCTCTGGTGTTGGGGCTTTATTGGAAGTCACCTGCCCCCCCAAAATGCATAAAAGATCTCAGGAGCAAAGCTCAGCCTTGCCATAAGCACTCGGCAGCCGGTGGCATTCCGGGTGCCGAGGAGGAGAAGTCCCTTTGCCACCTTACGGGCACCCCGCCGGTCCCTGCCC